AGAGCTCTGAGACCATCGAGTCCAATCTGTGACCCAAGCCCACCTTGTCACCCAGCCCATGGCACTGATGCCACATCCAGGCTCTGCTCAAACCCCTCCAGGGACGGGGACTCCACCCCCTCCCTGGGCAGCCCATTCCAAGGGCTGAGCACTCTCTCTGCAAAGAACTTCTTCCCAATGGCCAACCCAAACCTCCCCTGGGGCAGCTCAAGGCTGGGCCCTCTTGTCCTGCTGCTGGTTCCTGGGAGCAGAGCCCGACCCCCCCCGGCTCCCCCTCCTGTCAGGGGGTTGCCGAGAGTGAGAAGGTCCCCCCTGAGCCTCCTCCTGTCCAGGCTGAGCCCCCCCAGCTCCCTCAGCTGCTCCTCCCAGCACTTGTGCTCCAGACCCTTCTCTAGCCCTTCCTCCATCCCACCCAACCCTCACCCATCACACCCCAGGGACAATTTTAAACCCCTAAACACAGCTCCCCCAGCATCTTTCGAGGCACAAATTACAATTATTGTCGAATAATACGGCTCTGATGATGCATCAGAGCCAGGACAGTGACTCATCGCTGCCAGGGGGCTGCCGGGCCACCTCCTCCATCCCCTGTGATGGAAGGGACGGGAGAAGATGAATCAAATGCATATTTATAGTGCTCAATAGGAATTATGAGTGTTTTCAGGGTGACCTTCAGCTGGGCCCACTGATTTTAACTAAATGGGCTTAGCAGGGCCATCCATCCAGGGGTGTATTTGCTTCAGGAAAAGAAAGAGAAAAGGAAACATCAGGAGAGAAGCTGTAAATTTGGGGTTTGAAGCAAGCCTGGGACCCTGGGATGGGGCACAGGGATCAAGAACAGCTGCTGGGAGCAAAGGGCTGAGCTGTGGCATGGACTGGTCTGTGCTGGCAGAAGGGAAATCTGGTCCCACATCATCTGTCACAGACAGGGCAGGATCATCTCAAATGCTGTGCTGGTTATCGGGGAGCACAGAAAGGAGGGAAAAATCATAGAATCATCACAGAATGGCTTGGGCTGGAAGGGACTCCTCTAATTCCAACCCTCCTCGACATTCTGTCTCTATTCCAAAATATGCCACAGCCAAAAAAAAAAAAAACAAAAACCAACCTGCTGGAGGCTCGAGTGGGACAGACCCAGGCTGCTTTTAAACAGTAACAACCCAGATATGAGATCCTTCTTATCTGACCCCAAACCTGAGCAAGCCCTGCCCCCCTTTCACCCCAGACCTTTGCCAGAGGCCACAAAATCATTAAACTCTTCCACTGACACCTCCCAGCCCTCAACCCCAGTCCCATCTAGAAACCCACCATCCTCATTAGCTGCTCCAGTTTTTGTTTCAGGGGTGTCCCCTGCTGCTAATTAAAGCTCTGGAGCTGAACCCAGAGATGATCCCAGAGCAGGATGCTCCGAAGGGATAGCAGGGATCAAACAGGCTTTGGAGCAAAGGGGTCCAGCCCTGCCCTGCAGTCACAGCCAGCACTGGGGTGTTATTTTTCTCCTGGGTGATGGGGATTTTTAGACTCACAGCTTCTCTCTGCAAGGTGGTGATGATAACACTGCCCTTCTCTGCCCTTGAAATACCCTGGCTATGATCACACTGAGTTTCCAGACAAAAATCCCTCCAAATTTCAGCTTTGTGACGCCTAAAAAAAGATGTGATGAGTGTTCAACGACTTCATTTTGAGAGTTAACAAATGGGGCAATAACTATTCAAAACAATCTCTTGCTTGGTTGTGCTGCTTTCTAATTTATTATTGCCCAAAAGCCACTTGAAACATCATGGTATGTGTCACATGAAACACATGTGAAGCCCAAAGCTGTTTGAGCAACTTTTCCGTTCCCTTAAAATCTGTAAAAATTGCTTTTCCCTTCTTGGATTAAAAAAAATAAAAAGTTTCCAATCCTCAAACCTGCCCAGGTGTGGACAAGAGCTGCTGGTACAGCTTTAATTCTGCCAACAATGGATTTATAATTAATTAGTATCACAAGTACTTCTAAACTTGGCTTTTATCCCCTCAGATTTATTGAACATGAGCTTGAAATTTGCTATTAGAGAAAGCAGCAGTTGCTGACGCTGATAATGGCATCCCCTTATTTGTCCAGCACTGATTTCTTAATATGAGAAACTTTACTAATCCTAAATTCCAAGTACCTCACATTCAGCAGAGACTGGAGGAAGAATATCTTTAGAAGATTAGGGCTAGTCCTGCTCTCTAACAGGCAGAAGTAAATTGTTAAAATAAAGAAATAAAAGCATTTCCTTCACCTTCTTCCACAGGTCAGAGAAAATGAAAATTAAATTAAACTGAACACATTTCTTAATTTTCTTTTTCCAAAAGCTTTTTTTTTTTTTTAAATTTTCTTGCAAGTGTTGAAGACTTACTTTCATTTTGGAGCTGCATCTTTGCTCTTTCTGCTTTTTTTTTGCTACACTGGGTCATAATTCCAAGTGTGGGTCACACAGGTTCCTGAAATAGCAGAAGATATTTCTAGAATCAGGAAAAAAATATACAGCTTGTCTTTATTTTTTTTTTTTTTTTAAGTTTCCAAGCCCAGCAAACATGTGCTGTGTCTTATGATCCCTCAGTCATTCAGGATTCCCAGACACATTTCATAAGAATGAGACTTTAAACACCGTCTCTGGCTGCCTTCCAGATCAGGTAATTACATTTCCCCCCCCTTTTTTTTAAATTCCCTTGCTCTTTCAACTGGGGACGTTATTAATCTCCATTCCCCAAGTTAAACTGTTGTTCTGTGCAATTGTCACTCTTTTGAGGAGGTTTTGTGTCAATGCCTGGGGACCAAAGTGGTCTCTCCCCTCTGAGGTTTAATTCATTACCAGGAGTCACTTCAAGGCATTGAGATGATGCAGCTGTCGGGTGTTGATAAATGATCCTTGGCTGATCATTAAAAAGACAACCAGTGAATAATTATCAATTAGCAATAGTTCAAAGGGATATTTTAAATTTATAAGCAGAGTATTAGAAATCCAAGCATAGCAGTGGATTTACATAGAAATCAATTAAAGCCTGAAGTGAACAAGCCTGCACCACTTGTCTGTGCCTGACCTACACCAAGAACTTGGCTCAAACGTCCCAAAATAACAAAGAGTGTTTCATTTATCATTTGGAGTTCCTTTGTGATCAAGGACAATTTAAAGCCTGGAGTAACCCGACTGCAGCGATGGGATTACAGCGCAATGGACTCACATTTATACGGCAAGAATTGATTTTTTTTTAAAAGCAGTTCAAGAAGCCATATTTCTGTGTCAGCTCTCGTTACCTCTCCTTGGGATAAGCAAACTGCTCTGGGGGGCTGGTGCCAGGGCTTACCAGGGAGCTTGGAGACTCCCTTCTGGAGCATCACCCACCCTTAGGAGCTGATTAGTGGCAGGATAATTTACCATGATAAGGCCTAAAATCCACTCAGAGAAATGCAAACGACGCAAATTATTTGGGGTGAGTTGCTGCTGGCACTGGTTTGGTGGTGAATTGTCCTAAAACTGGCCTGGCTCACCAAACTGCAAACACACATCCTGCTTTTTGAAGCAGGATTTGACAGATAAGCTGCTGGCTGGCCTGGGGATCTGTGACTGGCAGTGAAACACTTCATAACCATAAAAGCCCAATCCAACTTTCAGATGGCAGATTCTTCCTCAGACTGTCTTGGAGTGTGTGGAGCTGGGAAACCTCTTCCTGGTCACTCTTTTACACTCTGTAATAAATAATTCTGATCAAGACCTTTCATCCGTTCACTTGCCTGTTCATTTATCATAATAAATAATTAATTTCATATAAATATACCTGATTTGCCATCATTAAAACCCAGGTGACAAAGTGATTTATTCACCATGGGCTTCTCAGCAGTGGGAGGGGCCCAAAGGTGTTAAAAAACTTATCACTATTTATATATTTTGGCAAAAGAGGAAATAATTCTCACTGGTTACACAGTTCTCTTATTCTATTAGTTAAATGATTCTGGTGCTAATTAGTCCCAAGCTCAGTCTTTCTCTTCCTTTGAGGCAGTGGACCTGATTTCTCCCTGCCAGAATTCCCTCTCACAGAGCTGATTCCAGCCCAGCTGCTGAGCTGTCTTTCCTTATGGATCCTGGATCCATCCTCAGTGATCCATTCTTCTCCCTAGGTCTGAGATAACACCCAAATTTAACCACCTGTTTCCCATCTCAAGTTCCCACTGTGGTGGTTTAACTTCCAGTCCAAGTTCCAGGCACCCACAGAGGATTATTCAGGGGGGCTTTGGCAGTTGTTGGTGGTCACAGCTGTCCCACAGCTTGGAGTGAGCTTGCTTTGACTGTGTACAAGCTGTTGCCTCCTTACACAGTTTGCCACAGGGGGAATTTTGATCTGGATGCATTTTCCGAGATGTGTGAGCCTCCCTTTTGCTTCATTCTGTGCTTATCTCATGACAAACTCCCTCTGTGGCCTCAGCAGCGTTTGAGCCAGGCAACTGTGATCTTTAAATCCTTCCCCCCACCAGTCTGAGTTCCACATAAATCAGGACCTTTTGGTGGGAGCCAGGGAAGCTGGCAGCTCTGTTTATGTATTCTTGTGTTGCCATGAAATGTCAGCAAACCTTATTAATTCCTTGTCTACCAAAAGAAACCTTCCAGTCATCTTTCCTTGACGTCTCCTGGTGCCCATTCTTAATCAGAGGTCAAGTGTCCCTTGCAAAGGACGTGGCTGGGAAGATTCATGAGTTTGACACGTGACTGAGGGGGCAGTTGCCCCTCTGAGGGACCTGGTGTGTCCAACATCCACGGAGCCATCGGGATTCCTGCCCCAGGGAACGCACTGGGAGAGCTGTTGTGGACTCAGCCACGCAGGGTACAGCTCGTCTGGATTTTGAGATGTGACAGCAAAACAAAGCAGGTCCCAGGATACAAAATAAGAAATACCAACCCAAGAGCTTGGACTGCTGAAGGCAACTGCCAGTTCTTCACGAGCTCCTGCAAGAGCAGGAGTATTGCTCTCGCTCCGCTGGGAAGAAACACACGGAAAAAAATCTTGTTTTCTCCACATTAAAAGGATCTTTCAGCTTT